CCAAAAACGAAATAATCTTTCTACCGGGATCCGATACCTGCACACAGGAAGACCTGGCGACAAGCCCGACACTTTGTACGAGTATCCTGGCAATCGGGAGACCATGATGGCAAGCTGTGGCCTACAGGCGGCGTAGGATGGGAGAGACAGCCACTTTCCCAGCCACCGCACCAAAGACAAAGACCCACGAGCACCCTGCATCCCCCCCAGACTGGTGGGGGGTTATCCCGGTCCAACCCTGAGAGGGCACATACGGGCGGAGCACCAGACGACAGAAGCATGCGAGCAGCGAGACGAGGCGCGGACCTGCAAAATGGCTGCCGCCACGTGCACTCACACCACAGCACTACCAAGTCTTGGAGAAAGGTTAGAGGCCATACTGGCCACCTTCTGGAAGCAACTGGCAGCCAGAGCACAACAAGCTGAGGCACACAGACCGACTGGAGGCTCGCCCAAGACACTGCCGACAAAACCTACACGTGGAAGCAACAACCCACCTACAAAGAGAATCCAACAGAGACGCCTGAACAGGCAAAGTCCCCGGTGGACCCACAAGCGAATGACCCCGACAAAGCCGGGATACCGTCGGGATCGATGCCCTGGAAAACCCAGCCCACAAGCAGAGGGGACCCTCTGGAAGCCTCACCTGACCCAAAGAAGGAAACCGGCACTGCTAAGGGGACCCAGGCGACACTCTCCTTGCCTCCTCCACCCACGCCACACGGACCTAACGCTACCCCTGCACAAGCTGCCGGTCGAGCTCCTGGCTCATCCACAGAACATTGTAACACCTCAGCAGGGAGTCGGCTGATCCCAGTAAGGAGCAGAAGACTTGATACTGCAAGTCAGGTGGACTATAATGTTTTTTGTTAATCTCACCTTATTTGAATAGTAACTCACAATGTCAGTCGGTATTTCTTGACTCTAACTTTAGGCTGCTACCGCTTCACTGATATACACACATACTTAAGCATGCCCACATTTTAGTTATGTTAGACTAGCCTGATATTACCTTGTCATGTAAACCTAAAAGTCAACACATTATTCCTGTTACACTTACGTTGCAGCAGCGGTACCGTCTACCCACATCGAAAAGTACAAGACTCAATGTTTAATTAGCTACCCTACCTATAACAGCTTAGCATATTTCACACTTAGGCTGGTTACCTGTGTAGTCTAACCGCTAAGACATAAGTTGATTGTTTTATATGCTCGGTCATAGGCATCTGGCTCCCTCCGGAGGGTTGCACCTGGGCCCCACACAAATCACTATTGTAAACTTGCCAACTTGCACTAGCCTGTAAGGGTACCTAGCTATGTAAGCCTGTAAACCTCATGTTATTACTAGACAGATCGACGAATAGACCTAACTTGTCCGAAGCTTAATACTACACTTTAAGTCGATGTTATATTGCTTTAAATGATCCAACCTGTTTATATTATAAAATTGTGCCTGTTAAACAAATACCCTGCATGTTAAGCGAGAGAAATGCCTGAGGACTGCGATCAGGGCACCTCAAGATTGCTTGTAATAATTCTATGCACTGCAAAATAAATAAATAAATAAATAAATAAATAAAATTAAAAAAAGTAATAGACAAACGATACCCAGTAAAGCTCCCGCTGACCTCTTTGCTGACTCCCCATGGTCAACACTGAGGATCAGTTTTGCCCCACTTCAGGAAGTGGTATGGCACTGGATGGAGGTACGCACACATGCCCACTGACAAAGTTGACAAGGGGGGATTTGACACATGCCTATTAAAACAAAAAGTTACAGAACTGCTTTAAAGTCACCAGGATGTGTATTTCTGCTGTATAACCATAGTGAATGCATCAGCCAAAATAAACATATACCCACAGACCAACATTTTTATCAGTCCCCAGTAGGTCACTTTTTAAATTGTTGTGCCAAAGTCAATTTTGTCACTAAGTTCTCCTTCTTAGTTGATGCTCTATTTGTGTTCACATTTATATCTGCTGTTGGTTTTTCCTTTTAACTCCCTGGTGGGACACTTATTTATGGAAACTCTATTCCAAGTCACTGTGATTTTAGAGGACAATAACCCTGACCCCCTCCACTATTCTACAAAACATTTGTAGTACTACATCCAGATGGTGTCACAACACAGTGTTTATTTCTAAAAGTACATGGACATAAAGATTCTAATCTTGCCATTCACACACACAAATTTCTCATTCCACAAAGTATACAGTTGCCTAGAACATCAGACATTCCAAAATGGCGCATGGTGAATTAGGTGACAGTGAGAGGGGAAAGGGGGCAGACAAGTGATATGACTGTGTTACTGGTGCTGCTCATAAGATGTGGACCTTCTTAGAAAGGGGAAGGAATGCATGTCAGGCTACCTTTCAATTATCCAGGCTGGCACACAGAAAGTGGTCTACACAGGGAGCTCTCTGCAGGTAGTGCCCTGTGTGTACTTCAAGCTCATTTAATGATGCACTTGACTACACTTTTTGGGACAGTTTTCTGGTGTTTCCAATAGCGGCACACTAGGGATCAAAGGTGGGACAACGAAAAAAAAAATCAGAACTCCACCAATAATATCAGGTATGTTGGGAGGCATGGAACACCATTTATAGCTGCTACAAAAGGCATGCAGACATGTTAGTACGTTAGTTTGGCCCATGTTAAACATTCCTATCGCGTGTCCTATGTTCCACCACAATGTTTCTTAATTTGTAATTATCTAGTATATATGTACTCTAGCTATACTATGAGTGACCACATAGGAACCTCATAAAGAATGTAGATTCTTAGATCAGATTATAATGTCAAGCTCTATTAACTATAAGTGAGCATTCTAGCTATATAATAACACTATAACAGCAGTAATATGCAACAAATACCACTTCTAACCATAAAGGGAAAACTGACTCCATGACAATCACCCTTCATAAATCTTGTGAATGATTGCCTCTTGACAGATATATCTTCCATACTTTGGTTAATTAATTTTATTAGCAGTTGTCTTAGAGAATGAGATTGTGCCAAAATGTACAAGAGCTCTTGTTAAGCTGCTATTACAAACCTGGGTCTTGGATCTGTATAACTCAAGGGAGAAGCTAAGACACAGACTAAAAATGCCTGCTGGTCAAGCCAGACAATGGATCAGGAAATAGAAAGGAGATTTGGAAGCCGTCTCAAGAGTTATAGAGAAATCCTTTCTACAGGAATATAAACCAATGTTCTGCATTTCCGATAGCATACTCAGCACTGAAGATAATGTCTTGGCGCACACTATCTCACATGCACCAAAAGAATGGTCAACGCTGGACAGCCACTAGGCCCTTTTGAATGTTTCACGAGAACAGATTATATGGCAGACACACATAATGTATTAGGAACATAAACATTTTGTATAAGCTGGAACTGACTTAAATGAACACATCCCACTGGTTTTATGTACACTTAAAAATATAATAATGATAAGCATGTAAAATATGATAATAGGCAACACTCACATGCAAGCCATCTACTAATAGGAGCTGTGATCAAAAGCATGAGAAAATAAAACAAATAAAAATAAATTAAGAACAGGGCTAGGGACCAGCCCATGGCAAATGAAACACAATATGGTGAATAACATTAGTTTACCCCACTTTGATTAAATGATGTGTCTCTTTGCAGTCCCCCGTTCTGGCCTCCTACAATGTGTGTTTTTGCATGTGAAACATAGCAGATCTCTCTTCCTGGCTCATTTACAATACACACAAAGATCTTGGCAGCATCACAGCAGTTCTGTATATAACATAAGCCCCACAACATAATAATTAGTGATGTTTATTAGCCATCCAAGAAGAAAGGCCCAGCAATGTTTTGATACCAAATTGTGCATTTGCAAAGTCATGGATTGAGAAACACACCATTTGGTGTCAAAACATTGCCAAGTCATTTTTGTTGGTTGGCTAATAATTATCAGTAATGTATTTAGAATGCAGTGCGGTTGAGGATCATTATTTCAACTTTAGACTTCATTTAGAGAACAGTATTTTCAGTTAAGCACACCAGCACTTAAATCTGACTTTATTACCAGCGAGTGACCACAATTAGTCCCCCTAACCCACCAAGGGGAAATGTTAAGCCCCACAACTATGCAGATGGGACCGTAGTCTCTGCACTTGCAGCACCAGGGGTAGGGACGGTCGGTCCTGTCTCCCAGCCACAGAGCAGTGTATCCAGAGGGGAGACAGTCGGTCTCCCCCTCCCACAACCAGGCTTCAACCAGGCTACTTCAGTGGTGGCGCTGGCACCCGGGCAGAGTACCGCTGGTCTCTACCCACTCAGCAACCCACCAAGGCAGTCTACCAGCCCCCCGCACAGCCGTGGTGAGGCACCTGGACACAGACAAGTTGCTATTTTATCCAGGTGTAGTAACCAGTTATTGTGGTTGGGCTGTATTGCTTCGTGGGTGGGTTGCTGGACTAACCAGGGCACTGACCGGCAGGAGGTCAGATACCCTGTTAGTCTGGATGGTAAAGGGGAGAAATGTGGCAAAACCGACCTCGCCACATGTCCTTGGAGGGGGCTGCTTGCCCGTCTCTTGCCTTTGGACTATGGACCAGACTTTGTGTGAATGTGTTAACCCAGATAGCTATGCCATGGAGCCCATTCGTGTAGTTAAAGACTTCGGCTCCATGGCAATTGAACTGTGTGAATAGGATCTGAGCGCTATTCGGTAGTTTTGTGCGCTCAGATCCCAGCTATCTGGGGATATGTGAAATGTCTGTGTGTTATGTGTAAAAGGTGACTTTATGTATTTTAAAGTGTTTTATGTCTTTTTGCAACCATGTGCTCAATGGAGTCTGCCTCTATCCCTGGATAATTGGATTACTTCCCCCCATTGTCTCCAGGATAGAGGGCTCTGTAAAACCTGTTTGAGCCAGATATCCATGTGCCAGCCAGGGCCCAAAAGATACTTTTACTAACTTTTGAATCCCTGGTCTGATTCATGCCATTTTTTAATATGTTGTTCATTTTATGTGAATGTGATGTATGGTTTTAGAGTTGTGAAAGTTGGGTAGAAAGTATGTTTTAACTGTATGTGTAATTGAGTTTCCTCTCAGGATAAGGGGAGGGAATATGTGGGATGTAACTGATATGTGATTGGTTGTTTTATACCTCCCTGTGGGCGGTCATGTATTTGCAAAGACTGTAATAAAAACCAGGCTGGGTGTGCCAGCAGGAGAGTTCCTGTTTTAACCCTCAAAGTGAAGTGTCGTCTCATTATTGGGGGAAGGATTTATTGTATGCTGTTCCAGTTTGACTGCTAGGAGAGTAAACCTATCCGTATGGTTCCTATTCGGCTGTATACAGCATTCATATGCTAGAGAGGATTCCTATGCTTCTCAGATTCGGTGGTTGTGGTGTCTGCTGCAGTGCTTGAAGTCCTCAGGAAGCGCTAGGAGCATCCTTTAACGGAGGTACCCAGTCGGGGTGCCAGGTGATCCATTACAATAATGCTTTCCTATGAGACTGGCTGAATGTGCGCGCAGCTCTTGCCACGCATGCGCATTCAGGAGAGGAGGAGGAGAGTTCCCCGCCAGGCGCTGGAGAAAGAGGTAAGTTTAACCCCTTCCTACCCCTAGAGCCCGGCGGGAGGGGGACCCTGAGGGTGGGGGCACCCTCAGGGCACTATAGTGGTCCTTTAAAGTATAAATAGTCAGCAAAATAGCAATAAACAAGCCTTATGGATTACAGAGATACACAGACATAAGAAACTAGCCACGGTCAGGGATATAGAAAGCAGCACAGTCAAGACAAGCCAAAGACAGTAAACCAGGAATCAAATAAGCAAATTAATGTGCTCTTGAATCACCATAAGGGAAACCATGTTAGGGGAAATGTCCGGTAGCTGTAAAGCTGTTGTGATTGGTCTGCATCACTTCTGAGATACCAAAGGATGCGTGGACAATGAAACGATGCAGGGGAATATCCACATCAGAAATTACTTGGGCCGTCTCTGCATCATGAATAAATGTGGGTTCATAATGATGCAAGACAGGTGGCAAGGTAGGTAGGCTTCATTTATGTCTCAAAAATGGTGAGAGTATGACTAGACTGGACTAGAATGCTGCGTCAGTCTAACAGGTGTCATAACAATAAGTATTGTTTGAGTGTCTGAATGGACCACAAGTCTCTTATATGAGGAAAGAAGCTCAATAGATAATGTGTCATAGATTGTATCTAGAAGTCATAGATAATGAGTGACAAAAATCTTCACTGACAACACCCAGGGTCAACAAGTAATTAGATACAAGGGGTGCCATCATAAAGCCTTGTGTGTTTGTTTAATATTTTATATATGTTCTACCTATTTCCTAGTTTTATTATATGCTTTTTTATTATTCTCTGCCTTTCATATATTTATAGTTCTTCTATTTTACCACAAGAAGGGGAAGTTTGCTGAATTGAGTTAGCTTTGATTAACCTTTAAATTTAAGGTTGATGTACAACACACATTTCAACAGCTTTTCTTTATGAACCCTAGAAGCATTACATCCAAACATCCAATTTCTCAAGATTCTAATGTTACACCCCCGTGATGTGGCTTCAAGCCAGTCAACAGCTTAGTTGTACTCTCCCTTATTAACCCTAGAGCACCATGGTTTGAAATAGGACTACTATCTCTAGGTCTAATTGGACCATATGAGACTTTAAGCTAGCGACCGAAATATTACCACTATTTTAATACTAAATTGATAGGATCATTTATGGGTAATACATTCTAGGCAACACAAATGATGCCTGCTAGTTTACCAGTTGGATAATTTACACACCTATCCTCCACTATAAAAGGACCACTATAGTGCCAGAAGAACATACTTGTTTTCCTGGCACTATAGTGCCCTGAAGGTGCCCCCACCCTCAGGGACCCCCTCCCGCCCGGCTCTGGGGAGAGGAAGGGGTTAAAACGTACCTTTTCTCCAGCGCCGGGCAGTGAGCTCTCCTCCTCCTCTCCACCTCTTCTCCTCCCCTTCTTTCCTATGGATGCTTGCGTCTTCTCACTGTGATTTCACGGTGAGAATCACGCAAGCGCCTCTAGCGGCTGTCAATGAGACAGCCACTAGAGGATTTGGAGGCTGGATTAACCCATTTATAAACATAGCAGTTTCTCTGAAACTGCTATGTTTATTTAAAATAAGGGTTAATCCTAGAGGGACCTGGCACCCAGACCACTTCATTAAGCTGAAGTGGTCTGGGTGCCTAGAGTGGTCCTTTAACCCCTTAAGGACCAAACTTCTGGAATAAAAGGGAATCATGACATGTCACACATGTCATGTGTCCTTAAGGGGTTTTAAAGGACCACTATAGTAACAGGAAAACATACTCATTTTCCTGGCACTATAGTGCCCTGAGGGTGCCCCCACCCTCAGGGTCCCCCTCCCGCCAGGCTCTGGAAAGGGGAAAAGGGTTAAAACTTACCTTTTTCCAGCGCTGGGCGGGGAGCTCTCCTCCTCCGATCCGCCCTGACGGCTGGCTGCACGCGCATTCAGCCGGTCGCATAGGAAAGCATTCATAATGCTTTCCTATGGACGCTGGCGTGCTCTCACTGTGATTTTCACAGTGAGAAGCTAGCGCCCTAGCAGCTGTCAATGAGACAGCCGCTAGAGGCTTTGGGGGAAGGCTTAACCCATTGATAAACATAGCAGTTTCTCTGAAACTGCTATGTTTATAAAACAATGGGTTAACTCTAGAAGGACCTGGCACCCAGACCACTTCATTAAGCTGAGTGCCTGGTCCTTTAAGTGTTGACTTTCTCGTTAAGTGTTATATGTTGCACTCATCTTTTATCAGTCTATTTATTTATTAGTACCCAAGAGGAATTTCTCAGAGGAGAAATTAGTTATTTTCCTTACGCTAATCAAAAGATGTAAACATTTACCAGATAGTGGCAACAAGGTATTCTGGTACCATAAGCACTACAGTATGCTGTAGTGATTATGGGGCCCAGAGTGCCCTGTTGGCTCACCAGTCTGTTCCACAACCCTGCCATCTACAAGTATTACAATATATTGGCTTCTGAGTGTTGGGCATAAATAATTGTGGAAGTATAATTATTCCAATCAAACCACACGCTGGCTGAGTTCAGTAAGGTAAACACTGGGGATGTTGGCAAGTCTGATTATAATTACAGTAAAACAATTCCAAACACACAGCCACCTCATATCACTCGCAATACAGCATGAATATCATTTAGCATAAATAGCACATATGGCTAGTTTTAGAAATATTAATGTTCTGCAACCTTATGTGCAAAGCATATTGAGAGATAACATTCTTAGTTCAGAATGGTTACAAATGTTCAGACAATTGTTTTTGATTTTCACATTTTTCTATAAAAAGTAAGAAATGCCAAGGTATGCAATATATAATTTAGTACAGGCAGCTGCACATGCAAAAGGCAAACCTAGAGAGTTTTAAAATAAATACACAGACACTTTTTTTGCGATGTGAGCAGAAGGGAAACATAACCACAAATTGTTTTAAGCTATTCCAGATACAAACGAGAGTTAACTGAAAATGCTTTGTAGAATGTTCTAAACAATTTTAACCCCTTGAGGACAACTTCTGAAATAAAAGGGAATTATGACAGAATATAGAAACATAGAATGTGACGGCAGATAAGTACCATTTGGCCCATCTAGTCTGCCCAATTTTCTAAATACTTTCATTAGTCCCTGACCTTATCTTATAGTTAGGATAGCCTTATGCCTATCCCACGCATGCTTAAAGGACCACTATAGTGCCAGGAAAACATAATTGTTTTCCTGGCACTATAGTGCCCTGAGGGTGCCCCCACCCTCGGGGTCCCCCTCCCGCCGGGCTCTGGGGAGAGGAAGGGGTTAAACTTACCTCTTTCTCCAGCGTCGGGCGTGGAGCTCTCCTACTCCTCTTCGGCTGAATACTCACGCGCGGCAGGAGCTGCGCGCGCATTCAGCCAGTCTCATAGGAAAGCATTCATAATGCTTTCCTATGAACGCTGGCGTCTTCTCACTGTGATTTTCACAGTGAGAAGCACGCAAACGCCTCTAGCGGCTGTCAATGAGACAACCACTAGAGGCTTTAGAGGCTGGATTAACCCTCAGTGTAAACATATCAGTTTCAGAGAAACTGCTATGTTTATAAAAAAAAAAGGGTTAACCCTAGCTGGACCAGGCACCCAGACCACTTCATTAAGCTGAAGTGGTCTGGGTGCCTATAGTGGTCCTTTAAACTCCTTTACTGTGTTAACCTCTACCACTTCAGCTGGAAGGCTATTCCATGCATCCACTACCCTCTCAGTAAAGTAATACTTCCTGATATTTTTAAACCTTTGTCCCTCTAATTTAAGACTATGTCCTCTTGTTGTGATAGTTTTTCTTCTTTTAAATATTTCCATCATGTGTCCTTAAGGTGATAAACACATTCTAGTTTGCCCTATGACTGGTTTAACTCACCTTTTATGAAGTTTATACAGTCCCTCCAGGACTTCTTATTTGGTGCCTGCTAGCTTAAAATTTCTAAGATGGTGGCGCCTGGACATCTTTTGCCCTTTGCTGGGCGTGTATATAAAATCACGTGAATACCCAGTAAACTGGCAGCTCCCACTTGTCAGGAATGCTGTTGATCCAGCACGCAGAAATAGTATCACACCTATCACTAAGGATAAGTTATTACCGGACCTTAGAATGGCCGGATTTAACTTGCCAAGGTCAGGGATACAGAATGAGACACAACGATTAGGAAAAGCTAAAAGTAAGGATACCAGAAATCAGGGAATTTAAAACAGAGCCAAAGTCAAAAACCAAAAAACCACAATCAGTGACACACTCTCGGATAACCAGCTACTGGAAACCATGACAGGGCACTGACAAAAGGGCAATTTGGGTTTAAATAACCCTCTTGAAGCTGTAATTGGCTGTATGTGGCCTCTGACCCCAAAATGTGCGTGCACATCTATGACGTGACGTCGCACGCACGTAAGCGCCATCTTTAATGTGGGCAAAGGCTATATCCCTGTCTCCAGGAACGCCGCACACGCTAGGGACCAGGACAGAAGGAGGTCGGGTAGCGGTTTGCCGCGAGCAAGGTAAGTATTTATTATTTCTGTCGGCGTGACCACTGTGTTTCTGTGCGGCCACGTCGACAGAATCTCGCGGAACAGCTACACAACTGACCTCTTTGCTGACTCTCCATGGTCAATACTGAGGATCAGTTTTGCCCCACTTCAGGAAGTGATATGGCACTGGAGGGAGGTCCACACACATGCCCACTGACAAAGTTGACAAGGGGGGATTTGACACATACCTATTAAAACAAAAGTGACAGAGCTGCTTTAAAGTAAACCAGGATGTGTATTCTGGTGTAAAACCATAGTGAATGCATCAGTGTTCTAGTTCACATACTTTGCCAAGTACTGTTTGTGATTTACTATCTTGGTTGTAAGAAAACA